TGGGTCATGGCTATCTTCTGCAAAGGGAGGCTTTCTTTGCTCTGTAATTAAAACACACAGGAGGCTGGGTCTAGCTTCCCCATAAATAACAGAAGTTAATGAAATGTTCAGAGCTAGTGTTGACTGCCAAGTTTTACAGCTGGCTCTTAATTGTTTGGGTATGAGAAAATTCTGTGTATCTCTGAAAGAATTATGTGATAACTGGGCCATAGTTCTTAAAGTAATTAAAAACCGTAATCATGTTTTTAAAATACAGAAAAGTTGCTTGATAAATGTGCCCTCCTACCTAAGTAGGCAAATCAAAGAATGCCGAGTTTGGGTTTTGTTGTTTGTTTGATTTGTTGTTTGCTTTGTGTGGATATTGCTTATGAGTGAGGACTGGCTTGTCAAAAACAAGTATTAAAAACTAAATGCTGAATGGACTTAGAGAACTGTGTGGGTACCTTTCCTCAGAGTGGGCTGCAGCTCCCTCCCCTGCCTGGAGTCTGAGGGAATTAGTGTCATGGAATAACAAGCACAGAGATTGTTATTCAGAGAGGCATCCGTTTTAATAAGTATTTGGGTATGGTAAGCACATCACATCTGGCTTATATCAAAATTAACCTGGCAATATTCAACAGAATGCAAACTATACACAGTATCACTATTGCAGAGACACTCTGAGCTCCCAGCTACACCCACAGGGCTCTGATGGCCATCCTTCCTGTTAGAGGTGCTGGGTGGAACATTTACAAATCTTTGTGAGTCCATTTCTTACAGCAACACTGGCAGGGCAATGGCTGAGCTGCAGCACAGTATGAGGGCACCATGCTCCTCACACAATCAGAAATCTGCAAGTATACAGAATCAAAGGACACAGAGCGAGCTGATTTTAATCTGAGAAGTCCATCTTCAAAGCCTTGCTTACGTTTTTTTCAAGACCAACCCTGTCTGACGGCTGCTGCCTTAGACTTTAGTTCCTTAGAATGTCTAAGAAGTTCCTAGGAATGTCACTCACCATGAGTTCTGCTTGTATTTTATAAATGGGTCATGGTCTTTTTTTTTTTTCCAAGCAGGTTTTAAATCTTTCTTTCTTTCTTTCTTTCTTTCTTTCTTTCTTTCTTTCTTTCTTTCTTTCTTTCTTTCTTTCCTTTGCATCCCGATTGTAGCTCCCTCCCACCTCTCCTTTGTCCCCACCCTCTCTCCCTGTTCCTCCATCCCTCTCTCCTATTTCTCAGAAAAGGGATTCCCCACCAACAACAACCCAACCCAGCTCATCAAGTCATATCAGGACTGAGCGAGTCCTCTTCCCCTGGGGTCTGTGGAGAGGCAGCCCTATCAGGGGAAAGTGATCAAAAGCAGGCAACAGAGTCCCTGTAGTTAAGCTTTTTTGGATATAAACATCTATAAGAAAAGCATAGTGAAATGTTTGCCTGTCTTTCACTCTACAACTCTAAGGAAAATTCATTAATTCTTTAGTAGAATTCTGTGAAGGAAATAGTTCAACCCTGCTTAGATTTTAGTTACAAAGACAATCTTTTAGATTTTCTCTGTGATCACTGTATATAAAATTAGCCATTTAGGGACTGGAGAAATGGTTCAGAGGTTAAGAGCACTGACTGTTCTTCCACAGGTCCTGAGTTCAATTCCTAGCAACCATGTGGTGACTCACAACCATCTATAATGCGATCTGGTGCCCTCTTCTGGCATGTAGGCACACATGCAGGCAGAATACATAATAACTCTTTTTTAAAAAATAAGTATTTAAACTGAGAAAGAATCAAGCTTTTTTTTAAATAAAAGGCGATTTACCATGTTAACACGGAACCCAGGTGGTTCCGCACCTTGCTAATTCTTTATACCCTAAGATTTAAGAAACCCATCTTCAGCAACTCACAAGGTTCAGCCTGGAGAGTTTCATTCATTCAGCAGCACCACGCTGAACCCCAGTAATGTAGACGGTGCCCCGCACACAGCTTTTCAGTTACTCCTAAGACCTAAGGGAAGCTCAGTGACAGACCACCAAAGCTTGGTGGCGGGAACTGCCGGGTCTCCTCAGGGTCCCTGCCCCTTTCCTGGACCAGGAAGAGGCTGCCATCTCCTGTCCTCTCGTGGCAGCCTGTTGTCAGGCCCTCGTCGGATGAGAGAGAGCGGTGCATCAACAGCAGAGTGAACCGCCCCAGGATGTGCTCAGCGGCAGCATGCTGGTCCCGTGCATGCAAGGGTTTGCTTCCCAGGACCTCCAAAACCAAAGCCTCACCTCCTTGCTCAGACACTGCCAATATCTTCCCGTTGCCTTGGAGTAAAAGGTCTCTCCAAGGCCTAGCCTGTGCTTCTGCACCAACCTCGAGAACCTTTATCCTTACAGTTCCTGGGCCGGCAGCCTCTTCTGGAAGTCAGGCCCTCTCTCCCTTCCTCCCTCCTTCCTTCAGAGTTCTTCTCAGTATCACGTCACCAAACTATCCCACTTAAAAAGAACCGTCCTGAACGCTCTCCCTCCCTGCCTTACGTTGCTCCGGGATCTTTCCTACCGGAGTAACTGCATATTTGCCTCTGTCCGCCTTTCCTCACTCACGGTAGTCTCGGCCAGGTCCCTGCCTATCCTCAGTTCTTTCTTGGTCGACGGCAGGCACTCCAGACTTTTGCTTAGGCTGTGCAGGGTGCTCTTCCTGGGAAGGTGTGTGAAGCCATTTTACTAATCTGCACAATAATTCAAGATTGGCATCACCTCCTGGTCATCATCATGTCTGATGAAGAAGTTAAGGCGCGCTATTATTAGGAGTAAGGGGCGAGATTATAATCACCATGATTTACTGTACCACTCTTAGCTAATACAGTTACTTCAGTGCTTTTCCCGATACTAGAGCTCAGAAACTCACATCATCAAAGGGCGACTTTAAAACATCAAGTTTCCTATAATTGCCTAATATCTTAGAATAATTAATAGGTTTGATTTCTGAGCTCAGACTACTAATCAAGAGCAAAACGGGAACCACAGTTACAGCTCACTTCAGTCGCTAATTCTGAGAGCCACTTCCACAAAGGCTCCCGACTGCGGATTACAGACCTGCTCCCGCACCACGGAGATGGCCGAGGCTAGCACGGGGCCATAGAGGGAAAACTAAAGCACAAAGGCCTCAGCGATGACAGGCCCCACAGAGGGGCCCCCGGGACTGTAGCAGCTCACTCAAGCTCCTTGCTGATTAGTGCAGAGTACAATGGGGTAGCCGAGGGTGTCACCTAATGGAGGGCAGTTGATACAGCCTTATCTGGGAAGTTACATAATCACGCCAATGCGGGGAGACCACAAAGGAGTCCGAGCCTTACAATGGAAGAGAAGTGTATTCCCGGGAAAGTGTCACACAAAGAATGTCGCAAGATTGTCGGTGAGACACCCATTACCCCACACCAAGCAGTGAAGCGAAACAGCTGAGGCCAGAGGCTGTGGCAATTTCATTGGCGACTTGGCCAGGCACCTGCTGAAGAAAGCTTTCGGGGGACCCCGACATGCCCGCGCCTCTCTGGAAACAGAGGCTTGGTCGGCGCTCGGCAGACGCCCGGCTGCTTCCTTCTTTGGGGTCAAAATATATTCTTCTGCGAGCCTTGAACCCCTCCACCCTTGCTCACCCAGACAGTGAAACTATCTTTCCTCCCGAGTCGACCGGAATTCTTTGAAGGAAGCAGCCATGCCGGGTCTCCCGCTTTGGAGTCCCCATCTCCTCTAGCCGCCCCCCCCCCCGCTCCTCATCACCCCACCAGAGCCCCAGGACGCAGAAGGTGAGCGGGCCCCTAGCACCTGCCACCTGGCCCACCTGGGTCCTCCCCGCCCCCTCCCTAGCCCCACCCCCTCCCCGCCCTCCGCGGCCTCCAGCCACGGTCCAATGGCCGTGGGGCAGGGCTCGCTGAGCAGCCGCGGCGCCCGGGCCGCGTCCCCGCCCTGTTCCCGGTCCCCGGTTCCCCGAGCCGGGCCCGGCCGCCTTTAAATGCCGCCCCGGGCCGACGCGCTGCGGCCCTCGCCACCGTGCCCCCTCCGCCGCCGCGCCCCCCGCGCCGCCCGCCTCCCCTCCGCCCCCCGCCGGGAGCCCGCGGCCGCACCAG